GTCGCGAGCGATCCAGTGTTAACAATGAACGAACCCACTGAGTCAATCGACGTGTTTGGAATGTGGGATCATGGCCTAGATGATTGCACAGTAGTGAAATGCTCCCAGGACCAAGGAAGGAGCTATAACACGATCAATAAGTGGAACACTGCAGGGGACAGCTGATCACCTTATTGGCAGAAAGTTATCAATATTATCGATAGCTCCAGTGGCTTTCTTGCTGCCCACACTCAACACCTTCCACGAACCCCTTTCTTCCCTGCGCTCTGCGCATGGCAGGGACGCAGAGACGCTCAATGCGACCAATGCATGACGTGCAGAGAAAGGGGAAAGTGCATGGGGATTGAAGAGACGCAGATAGAGGGCGACTAAAATGTACCCCTGAGTACATTTTAGTCGCCGTCTATCTGCGTCTCTTCAATCCCCATGCACTTCCCCTTTCTCTGCACGTCATGCATTGGTCGCATTGAGCGTCTCTGCGTCCCTGCCATGCGCAGAGCGCAGGGAAGAAAGGGGTTCGTGGAAGGTGTTGAGTGTGGGCAGCAAGAAAGCCACTGGAGCTATCGATAATATTGATAACTTTCTGCCAATAAGGTGATCAGCTGTCCCCTGCAGTGTTCCACTTATTGATCGTGTTATAGCTCCTTCCTTGGTCCTGGGAGCATTTCACTACTGTACAATCATCTAGGCCATGATCCCACATTCAAACACGTCGATTGGCGCAGTGGGTTCGTTCCTTGTTGACATTGGATCGCTCGCGGGATCAATTCTCCATGATACTGGATGTTTTGCAACCCTCATAGGTTACTACCTTGCTTTCTACAATTCTTTCAAAGTAACCCAGCAATGCTTTGTGGTGCAGTGGCAAACGTCGCGCTCATGGGCGCTGCATTACATGGTTCAAGTCCATGGCGACGCGACTTTTGCTAGGAATGTAGTGAAGTTCGCCATTCAGAGCGGGGTCATCTGGCTGTCTCGCCTTTCATTATTCACCTTACGGCCGTAGTTCACCACCTTTAACTCCCAGTCTATGGCACTTTACTACCGTCCCTGATGATCTCCAGTGGACCTGAGGTTCCCGCAGCGGAAAATTCGCGCTGCGAAACGCGAAAAAGTCGCTTTCTGTCCTAGTGAACCACACCCCAAGTCCACCTTTGACGTTCAATGACCCCATAAAAACCGCACCGCCCTTCGGCAGCTACCATGATCGTTGCTTTGAAAGTAGGGGGAGGGCGAACCATCAGAGAATAATTAGTCAACTCACTGAGTCCTTTTTCTTTTTACTTTTTTTCCTCCTGTAAATAAGGCAGAATTTACGATGAAGAAGTTAGCTCATTGGAAATAAGGGTAGAGGTGGTCAGTGGAGCAGGGATGAAGAAGAAACCATTTGAAACGGCCCAAAACCCGAGAAATGGGACCCCTTCCTTGCCCGTTGATTTGCGCATTGATGCGACTCTCATCGCTGTGCCCTCTTCAACACTACGCTCTCTCTGCTATCTAATCACTCGCCACGTATAGACCTGCGGCGAGTGATTAGATAGTCGGTGGGCGTACCCCGCCAACCGCGCCAAGAGTGAGCCATGCTAGATCGCCGAGGTCAATTCGCGTCGGTCGGCTCCCTCAGAGTCCACCTTTCTCACGATTATGCACTTTTCTAATAAATAGAAAAGCAGAAGAAACGGCGGAAAACACGTCCTAGGAAGAGATATTCTCACAGAAGTCACGATGCGAGAGAAGCCTTAAAGCGAGGGATTACGATAAGATTGGACTGGGTTCATAGTGGAAGTGGAGATGCTGAATAATGCCCCAGTGGCGAAAAAAGCAAAGAAATCCGTCAAGAAGGCGCAAAATGGGACCCCTTTCTTTGCCCGTTGACCTCCGATAATGGACGAGCTAGCAACCAATTAAGAGGTCTTTGCACATGTTGAACCGATAGCCACCATCATACCAGCAAAGGCCATGCTTTGATTGGTAACGCGTTCCATGGGAAAGTTATAGGATACGCACT